CATCTTTGCCTAATATAGCCAACGACGCCTAGCGCCGTCTGTGTTTTTCCTTCTTCCCTCATATTATTCTTTTTCTTTCTTTCTCTTCCCACTCCTTCTTTCCTTTCTCTTCTTCTCTTATCTCACTCTTTGTATGTTTTTTTTTATGATATTTGTTATTTCTGTTATTCTTTTATTTGATTAAAGAGGGGTTGAGATTAGCCTATCATGGTAGTCCTGTCGTCTAGCCATAATGTCGTTATGCCACAATTACTATGCCCGCTTTATTGCCACGACAGACTAACCATCATATCTAGCTAGTCAGTATCGGTATTGACGTCTAGTAGTAATCCTTTTGAGCCGGTCTGAGTTACCAAGCCCTTTTTACTACCTCGTCAGGTCAATTACTCATCAGCTTAGTCACTGAGTTGATCTCCCTGCCTGATCAAATTCTTCTCTCCCCCATCTTTCTTCTCTCATTCTTCTCTTCTTCTTTTGAATGTGCATGCTTGTGTATGTTCACCAAAGAGGCAAGGTGAGGTCTGTTGACCCACTTGCCTTATAATATTTGCCATATGCGTGTGATCGCAGAAAACAGGAGAATACAAGCCAAGAGAGGCAATTCTGAACTAGTTTTATTACTGGGGGGGCTTTTTTCATGATCTAAGAGGGTGCCTATGCAACCCACTTTAAATTCCTCTCTCATCGGTTGGTAATACCTGGCCTTGTTTTCGAACGAGGTTCTCGCGAGGGTGATCTCAAATATCTCGGGTCTCCCTCGAAACCTAAGACGCGTGCTACCCGATCATCTAGATTCGGAGGGCGAGATCGAGGCATTTAACCAGCTTGGTGATTCCACTTGGGACTTGCTACCCCTTAGTCAGATCATACTTGTTTGGCTAAGTTTCTCCTTTTATTTTTTATATTCACACATCACTTATGGCTGCTGGGTTCTGTAACCCATTCATCTGTCTCGAGGATTTTCTCATCCCTGCATTCGTGAGTGACCTCAGGGAACAAGTTCCTTTAACTTCATTCCCAACCCTTCTTTTGAGTAAAGACCCCAGGTCTAGCTCCTAGGTCTTAACCTGGATTGGCGTGAGGAGGAACCTAAAAGTCCCTAACTCCTGATCTCCTTGCTCTGGTGGAACCTCCACCAAGGCACCCTGCATAGGTGACACCCACGCCACCGCTCACAGCATGCACCCAGCCACCGACAGTCTTATGTCGATCATGTTGGCAAGGTATTCCGGAAGGCAGCCCAATCCCTCTTTTCAAAAGGCAAGCAAGTTGCCATTGCGTCTGTGGGTCACCGCAAGGCTACCCCCAACATTCCTGTACCTCTACGAGTCTCTATCCCTAGAGGCTCAACACTACGAGTCAGCATCCAGGATCAGACCTCTCAAGGCTAGGTCCGGCACATGCTGCTCACATGCATCTCACAGCTCAGGGCAGCACCGTCATTGTGCCAACTCGAGTACACAGGAGACGACCTCCTTGTCCTCCTACTCAGCACACACAAGCACACCCTGTAAGGGGGTAGGCCTCCACCTGTTCGTTTACAGACACCTGCTCACAGTTCTCGGCCTCTTAAGGTCAGACCACTTGCTCGAGCCTGGGCTGACCCCCAGGTCACTCGTGATCCTTCTTCAAGGAGCGCACATGCATCACCATTTCTGACAACCCCTCACCCTCGACTCGGGCATCCTCACTAGTCAACCATGCATTTGCCTGCTCCTTCTTCTTCGAGCAAGCACCTTCAACCTTGGTACTCAAAGACCTTCCCCAAGAGTACCATCCTGAACCAGCCTTGTCATTTTGCTCATGTCTCTGGAGCCCACAGGAGAGCTCGGGGCAAAGACCTGATGGAAGATAGAGTCCTTCATCCTCCCTGGCCCAAGATGATTCCAGTCCCTGGTCTTCATTCTTTGTCGCTCCTGATGGAGACAACTCTTTCTTGTACAAGAAGAGCCGACCAGCCGTAGTCCCGATCGCAGTTTTGGGGTGAGGTCCATCAAAACCTCGAGGCTAATAGTGATAGCGGTCTATGAATTCTCACCAAGCAAGTCACCGATGCGATCGGGGCAACCAGCTCTGATGACCCTCTTTGTCTGAACCCCTTCTATCCTCTTCAGATGACGAAGCCTGAAGAAAAGCTCCATGAGCCCTGCACTACGGTTAATGTTGTAGAAAGTGACCCAACCCCTCCTCAGCCATGGTCCCAAGACTGTCGAGAACTGGTCCTCACGTGATTGGCATACAAAAGTCGAGTTTAGTCAGGGCACGCTAACCCCTTGTTGATTGATCTACCACGTGCGACCCGTCAAGCTCGCAAGCCCTCAACCGTAGCTAAGGTTGACCCCCCTGAAGAAACAGTCAGTGTGATGGCTATAGATGAACCTGACTCGCAGGGAGACTGCATGAACAAGTTTGAGGATATGGTGCGCCTTATGATGGAAAAGATCAATCGTATAGACGTTGCACACCAATCAGCTAACCATGAGGTCAATTCCCATCACTCTGATGATGCACCTCCAAGACAGCCCCTTCCCTCTGCCTCACAGGACAATTTTGTCCCTCACCCTATCTCACAGGTAGACATCGATGCTATGGTGACCAATAGCTTAAAGAACAGGAAATATCTGGGGATACAGGGCGTAACACCTTATCAAAGGCCATACCCTTCATATATTGACCAGGTGTCGTTTCCCTCAGATTACAAGAAAGGGAAGTTTCCCCTATTTAATGGGACCATGTCCCCGAATCAGCATATCGCCCACTTTCAAGCAGCATGTCGAGAAACAATGGCTGATGGGAGACTCCTTCTCCGTCAATTTGTTGAAACCCTTGATAGCCCAGCTTTTCAATGGTATGCTCGACTTCCCCCGAACTCGGTACATACATGGGAGGAAATGGAAAACCTGTTCTATCAATGCTTCTATGAGGTCGTGAGAGAGGTTTAAACCATTGAACTTTTCAACTTGACTCAAGACCCCGATGAGCTCGTGGACCAGTTCATATCAAGATGGAGAAATTTTGCTGCTCGCCATCTAATCCTATGCCCAAGAAGGAAGCAGTCCAAACGTGCGTGCGGAACATGCAACCCGAGATCTCTCTACATGTTGAGGCCTCTAATCCAATCTCCATGTCAAAATTGATATCTAAATCAGTCCGCATAGAAAGTCTATCATGGCACCACGGCAGGTCACGACAACCCTCTCCAAGCTCAGCGAACAACGGGGGCAATGGTAGCTCTTTGAACAACACACGGGGTAGTCAACAGAAAGGAGTAATCAGTGCAGTCGTCACGGTCACTGATCCAAAGAAGACTCCCTCCCAAACTTTGGACCTCTCCAAAGGAGTGGGCACAGCCAAGACAGCTCCCCAGGCAAGCAGGCAACAACAGCCGTACGACCGAGTACCCCCGCCGGCCAACCTTGATCAGGGTGATTATTTCACCAGGCATAGGAACAAGGTCTACCCCTTTGAGAAGGAATGGGTCCCTGTGTTGTTCCGGTTATTATTGGAACATAATATGATTTAGCTTCCAGAAGCCAAGTTCCCTGAGCAAGCTGACCTTGACATAAGCGAATTATTGTGCTTACCATCGAAGGGTCAATCATCCCACAGATGACTGCTACATGCTGAAAGATATTATCGAGGTCCTGATTCAGAAGGGTCAGATAAAGCTTGAAGACTTAAAGAAGGCCTTCGAGACAGCTGAAGCCTCCCATGTAGTAACTGTCTAGAAAGAAGACGAAGCCCTTGACATCCTTCACGCCTTCTTTGTTATAATGCTTCAGAAAGGCATAATCAAACTGAAGCAGGCAAGGCAACCCGGCTGCCTTGCTAAGGGGACCGAGAAGCGTTGGTGCCCATATCACCAGATATGGGGTCATTACCTACGGGAATGCACCATTTTCCATGATATATTTGCAAAGAAAATGCGGGAATGTCAGGAGTTTTACAACATCCCAATAAGTGACCGCCAAGCCACTATTCCGCCAATGTAAGAGGACCTCCCAACACAGGACCTTCCTAATAACGATTTAGACTCTGCTGAACCCTTGACTTCCCATCGATGGATAGTCCACCACGGGCGAAGCAGACTCAAGTCCTTAAGACGAGAAGCAGTTCTCTAAGCTAAGGTCGTTCACAAGCCTAGTGAGATGAGTCAAACACCACCTCAGAAAACCAAAAGGAGGCGGGCACCAAGGGCTGCTCGCTGGAAAAACAAGACGGTTCAACCGCCACTTGAGCAAGAATTTCTCAAGCCCCTTCCTCCACTGCCAACTTTACTGGATTTCATCCATGACACTATCCTCCTTCCTTCTCATCGAGAGGACCTCCTAGAGTCATCTTCCACTCGGAGCACATTCAATGAAGGTTACGACGTTAAAAGCACTCCCCAATGGTCTAAGCATGGGAAAGACCTAAGAGACCCCCTGCACACGTTCGACCCTGGTGATGACGTGAACAACTTCCCAGATCGGTCAGATGAGGGGAGCATCCTTAAAATTCCCCCACCTTCTAACCCTTCTCCTTCTTCTTCTTCTGCTTCTCATCCTGTCACTTTTATGTCTCCTGCATGTCCAACCTCGATATGCCCGGACTTCGAGGCTCTCGATAGAGAATTTGAAGGGATAAACAAAAGTAGGACGCAACGGAAATGATTGAGAAAGACCTTGGAGTAGGCAGCAGGATTCCTAACAGTTGTTGATGCCCTAGCAGCTAAAGCCAAGGCAGAGCCACCTTCTTCAAAGAAGCACAAAAATTTGAAGCCAAAGAAACCCTGGTGGTCCCCTAAGCCTGGCTTTGAGTAGAGATTGAGAGAGTCAAGAGGGAAAAGTTTCTATTTTCAAGAAGCTTACCACATGGTACAAGTCTATGAAGAATCAGCCAACACGGGGCAAACACTGTAGGCACCCGTACAAATATTGTGTGATTCATACGAAGAAGCTTCCTGCCCAACCACCGTTGAACCTCAATTTCCCTCTAACTTTCAAGACAAGCTTCTGCAGCCTGATAGGCTTTCCACATTTGAGGTTGACCTTTCCGTCCCTCGGTTCGAGAAAGGTACAAAAATTGTGACCTACTCTAGGCCCTTATTGGAGGTAGAGATGTTAGGATCATGGGTCTCTGCACTTGAGGTTGATGAAAAGGCCCCTGAAAACAACGAGGAAGAGTTGCAAGAAGCCCCAAAAGAGTGGGAAGAAGACGGTCAAGCTACTGCTGATGAGCTCGAAGAAATAAATCTAGGAGATGAAGTCGACCCTAGGCCTACTTTTATCTCAAAAAATATGTCTCCAAAAGAGAAAGAAGAATTCACCACTTTCTTGTGAGCAAATCGAAACGTCTTTGCCTGGCATTATCATAAGATGCCTGGTCTAGACCCTCAAATCGCCGTTCACCATCTCGACATTGACCCAACTGTCAAACCTATCAAAAAAAAATCAAGGAGGTTTAGGCCTAACCTCCAATTGCAGATAGATGCCGAAGTGACCAAACTTAGACAAGCAGGCTTCATTCGTGAAGTCAAGTACCCAAAATGGCTAGCAAATGTCGTTCCAGTCAAGAAGAGGAATGGTCAAATTTCTGCATTGACTTCCACGACCTCAATACCACCTGTCTCAAGGTTGACTTCCCATTGCCATTCACTGAGATGCTCATCGACTCAATGACTCACTGTCAAATCTTTTCCTTCATGGATGGGTACACCGGGTATAACCAGATACGGATGGCGCCTAAAGATGAAGAAGCCACTGTGTTCTTAAACTCCAAAAGGGGTCTTCTGTTACACGATGATGCCTTTTGGATTAAAGAACGCTGGTGCCACATACCAGAGAGCCATGACTACCATCTTCAAAAACATGATGCATAAAGAGGTAGAGTGTTATGTAGATGACTTGGTAGTAAAATCCGAGGTGAAGGATCCTCACATGAAAGACCTTGAAAGGGTATTTGAGCGACTACGTCTTCATCAACTTAAAATGAACCCACTGAAATGCGCTTTCGGCATGCGTTCAAGAAAGTTCTCGGAATTCATTGTCAGACATCGAGGGCTTGTAAGTCAATATCAAGGCAATCCAAGAAATGTTGTCACCAACTACACTTCGAGAACTATTCTCCCTTCAAGGGCAGCTGACGTACATTCGTCGGTTCATTTCAAATCTTTCAGGTCACTATAAACCCTTCACACACCTGTTAAAGAAGGATACCCCATTCATTTGGGATGAAGCATGTCAACTTGCTCTTAATGACATCGAACAATATTTACTCAACCCTTCAGAGCTTTCCATAGTTGTGTTGGGAAAACCCCTTATCCTATATGTGACTGCTTTGGAGGAGTCACTTGGGGCATTGTTAGCACAAAACAATGACAATGGAAAAGAAACAACATTGTATTATCTCAGCCGTAGGATGCAAGGGGTTGAGAAGAATTATCCCCCTATTGAGAAGATGTGCTTGACCTTGATCTTCGTAGTACAAAAACTCTGCCATTACTTGCTTGGTCATGAAGTTAAACTTATATCAAAAGCAGATCCTGTGAAATTCCTCATGACACGCCTATACTTGTCGGGATGCCTTGCTAAGTTATTGCTGATGGAATTCGACATCACATAGGTCCCACAGAAGGCCATCAAGGGCCAGGCCTTGGCTAATTTTCTTGCAGCACACCCTGTACCAGCATAATCTCCTCCATCAAACGACCTCCTTGATGAAGAAGTGTTATGTGCTGACCTTGCTCATGCGTGGGAATTGTACTTCGATGGAGCCTTTCAATAAGATAGAGGAGGTGTCGAAGTAGTACTCCTGACTCCGAGAGGAGGAGTAGTTCCACTTTCTTTCTCTCTCGCTTAGGCCGGTTCTCATAATGAGGCAGAATATCAGGCCCTTATAATCAGGTTGGAGATAGCCTTCAACCTCGACTTGAGAAGCTCAAGATCTATGGCGACTCTAAGTTGGTTCTTCGACAGCTCAAAGGGATCTATGATGTGAGAAAAGATACTCTCAAGCCTTATTACGATACTGTAAAATCGTATATGGCCTAGTTTGAGGATGTATCCCTGAGTCACATCCCTAGGCGGCTAAACTCGCAGGCTGATGCAGTTGCGAAATTCCACGCTACAATTCAGTTGTCCTCATCAGGACCCATGCTTGTTTGGGTGGCACAATGGAGACACATTGAACTAGAACCGAGGTCGACGTGGATGACAAGAGTAATGTCTTCCCGAAGTGTTCTCCTTATCCATTTGGAGCGCTTCTATCAGCTAAGGAAGTAATTAAGACTGAACAAGAAATGGCACGGAGTCAAGGAGCTAAGGGTCGAAACCAAGAACCATATTTATTTAACCCAATATGCGTGGAAATTGAACAGGTAGAAGATTGAAGTGAGCCCATCACTAGTTTCCTAAAACATGGCAGGCTCTTGGAAGATCATGCCGAACGCAGCAGCATATGTCGAATGTCTACCAAGTATACCCTCCTTGAAGGAGATGCTCTCATCAGACGGTCGTTTGATGATATTCTTCTTAGATGTGTGAACGTCCAAGAAGCAAATAAGGTGTTAGAAGAAGTCCACTCAGGCATTTGTGGACTACACTAGTCCAGTCCTAAGCTCTATGTATGAATATGCAGGTTGGGATACTATTGGCCTTCCATGATCGCCGATTCCTTAAACTATGCTAAAAAGTGCCAAGTATGCCAAATACACTCAAGCCTTGTTCACCAACCTCCAAAGCCCTCACACCCTATAGTGGCATCATGGCCCTTCTTACAATGGGGTATGGACATTGTAGGGCCTATTGACCCTCCTTCGGAAATGGGTCATGCTTTCATTATAGTTGCAACAAATTACTTTTCTAAGTGGGTTGAAGCGGTCCCCCTTAAGCGAGTTCTTGGGACAACAGTGGCCAACTTCATTCGACATCACATTATATACCGGTTTGGGGTCCCAAACCGGATTATATCTGACAATGGTCCCTAGTTTCGGAGCCACCATATTGATTGCTTGGTCAATCAGTTTGGTTCGACTATGTACCTCCCTTGGGTGAATGACTTAGTTGAGGCCTTCAATAAGACTATGTGCAATGTTTTATGAAAATCGGTATAAAAAACAAAGAAGAACTGACACAAGAAACTTCCCAAAGCGTTATGGGTTTATCGTACTACTACAAGAAATTCTACTGCTTCCACTCCTTATTCTTTAGTATATGGGGGTGAAGCAGTTTTACCTCTAGAAATTCAAAACCCTTCACTACGAGTTGCTATTCACCAAGGAATAACCAAAGACGAGAGAGTCAAGTTCCAGTATCAAGAATTGGATGCGCTCGATGAAAAGAGGCTA